ATTTACATTATATTTATGTTATAATTCACAACTATACTTTCCATAATTTTTATAATTTCTTCCTTTTGTCATTTGCAATGAAAGCTTGTCATTTATAATTGTTTAAATACTCGTGAATACATCATTCTTGTCACCTTCGAATAGTTATAGTAATATTATAATTTATAATTCTATTAAAATTTAATTTCAACTAACAATCCTAAATGAAACAAATTTATAGACTCTCGGCCGAAATCCCTCTGCTTCCGATTCGAGCTTAAACAAAGGAAAAGGCAATAACTTGTAAGAAGCAGAATGTGCTATCACATCGAGATAATTATTATTCTTATATTCTTAAACTTGTGTGTCTTTTATTTTCCAATGTTTGCTCGTAAACAAACAGAATTTAATGCTGTTGATTGCTACGAGTAAACTGCAGCGCACTCTCGTTAAATCCTTTTAGCTTCAACTTTTTACTCTATCAATTTGCAACTTCAAAGCCAGAGCTTACAAAGCACTCGATGGGTTTAACTAACTTCGTTCTTGTTTTTATTACTTATGAAACGTATTTTTCCGAACGTGCCCTCACTCTCCCCCCCCCCATTTCTCTTTCTTTGCATCATGCTGCGAAGTTTGTATTTCACTAACCATTGTTCTCCTACAACAATGGAAATAAATTTAACACGTGGAAATATAGAACGCGAAATGTATGTGATTATGGATATCGTATCGTAAATAGATTGTGAATAATTCATGCGAAATTAATAATTTAAGGAACATAATTGAAAAAAATGAATCCTTGGATGGAAGATTGTTGAATTTCACTGGGAGACTTTCTACGTACATTTTATACATTCTGCGTATATTTCTCGTAAATTTAATAATTTTCCTGCAAAATTCAAAGTAGTTTCCTCGTAGCAATGGTAAATGTTATTTTTCTAGATAAATATGAAAAAATCGGGATATTGATTGATAACTAATTTGACGTTACATGCGTTTGTAACATATTTAATTTATATATTTATTCATTTGTTTAATGTTAAATATCAATGCTGAAAACAAAAGTAGTGAGAAAGGAAAAATGTTAAATTCGAGAATATATAATATGAATGAAGTTGATATACTTATATAAATATTATTTATAAATCAACCACGAATAAGAATATCTATGAATCGATATTAAAATATTTGCGTAAAAATATTTTAATATTTATACAAGACGAAGTAAATTAGTAAATAAATGTCTACATTAGTTCAATTAATAAATAAATGAATAAATATTTTCTACTCGTAATACACATTAACGTTTCTTCGTTACTTTCGCCAATCTTTCATTAGAAATTCAAGACACTTGCTGAAAAAAGAATTGATTTCATTTGAACGGTATAATGTCAAAGACAGAAGTCGACAGAGGAACAACAATATGTATTTTTAGTTTATAAATGCATAATTATGCATTCAGAAAAAAATGCGAGGATCATTATCCATTGTATTAAATTGAGAATATTGGTGTGTTGTATTAAACGGCGAGCCAATTGAACTCTCCGAAAATTAATTAACAATTCACGATTGAATAAATCAAGATTATCAATTCATGTGTACTGTTATACGTACGTGTGTGTGCGTATATCAGAAATTTTATGATACAATGAGCTGGCGCTCATAAAAGTTTCCACTGGAACGTGAACACGTAAACGATTGTACAATGAGGTTGTTAATGTTGAAAACTGGCAGGAATTACGGTACGATCGCAGATTATTATCTGTTTTTGGATTCTGGAATCTGAAAGGGAAGAGGAACGAAAAAAATAAAATAAAATAAAATAAATGGAAATATTGTATCAGACATTAGTATAGACAATATAATTTTTGCATAATACTAGTTAATACTATGCAATATCGATAGAACATATATATTGATTAATTATATTAATTATGTATATTAATAATATTTATTTTATATCAATTATATTAATTTTATATAGAATAATATATTGATTGTGTTAATTATTATATTAATAACAATTAACTAATTATATCAATAATATTTTATGATAATTAATTTTGCATATAATAATATCAATATTAATTATACATATTAATTATGAAAAAGAAATTTCAAAAGTCGAAAAATTCAAAAAGTTCATCTTCCTTTTAAAAGGAATGAATAATATATAAAATAAACGAAAAAATAATAAATAAAATTTTGTAATATAAAAGACAAAGTTTAACTTCCACCCATATAACTTTAATCCTTCATGGTCTCTACTCACCACCCATATGTGGATGAAAAAAGTCGTCGAGTTATCATTTTGAGATACACGTGCGAAGAAATAATGTAAGCAACGAAACTTCCTCTTTATATAAGAAAGAAAGAAAGAAAAAAAAGGAAGAAAACACATTTGTTCAAGAGACACATCGACGACTATTTCGAGATGAAGAATTGAAGTTTCACGGGACGAACGCCATCGATGCTTGGGTTAACATACATTTTTACAGTCGTCGGTCTTGCAAGCGAACTTTCGAATATATGGGAATATAAAACGATTCAAACGTTACTCGTTACTCGTTTCTGCCCGAGTTTTTCACGCTTTTCACGTCCGTTCTCCGGCCGCGTGTGCAATAAACCAGGTGGATAGAGATCTTTCCGAGGGAACCTCCGAGAGAGGAAAATCGCGAAATTCCTCCAGCACGCTGACGTTTCCTTGACGGTACTTACTGTCAAACTGTCTGATCCTATTCCGATACCTTTCACCTGTTTCCTCCTTCGATCGGTGATTTTGCGATTT